TTATATTGCAATAAGTGCTTTCATGTTGCAAGTTGCAAGTGTTTTATCTAGATGTTGCATATGTTTCACATACATGTTATAAGTGTATGTTCTAAATGTTTTATCTGCTTTAGATGTATGTTGCATTCAAGTGTTTCATGTTGCAAGTATTTCATATTTTAGAGGTATGTTCAGAGAGTAAACGGGGCATGGCCCGGGCGCCATGGGAAGGGGCGCGACGAGCCAGGGGCCGGCTGATGGGGGGCGCGACATGCCTAGGGTCCTATGGATGGGGCGTGCTCGTCCTTATCCCTGTTCTTGAGTCCCGTCCACGTGGAGAGAGAGGAGGGGGTCAGGGGAAAGAGCGGTGGGCATGAGATGGGGTGACGTAAGCATGCACGGCGGGACGAGGTAGACGGGGAAGGACTATAGCGATACGGTGGAAGTGCAGCACATTTTTTATGGGCCGTTCCATACTGTCCGATGGAATCTTATCCCATCGGATGTCCGACGCCAGCAATTTCCTTTCATTTTTGTGAGGTTCGGATATGTTTGTTAACTCTATTAATTTGTCTATAGCGATGGAGATCTTGGGTTCCATCGTGCAAAAACAAGTACCATGACTAAAAACAAGTACCATGACTACCAATACATATCCTGATATCCGGTATCCCCAAAAAATGATTGTGAGGGGGCTGGTATAGGGGGTGTTTTGGATTGCTTCAGTTCACATTTTTAGTCAAATAGATTCAGCTCCACGTACTCCGCTCTAGCAAAAAGTATAGTTGTGAAAGCACCTAAAGGGGTGCTCTACAAATTCTAGGCTTTTTATGGAGCTGTTTCATAGTGGAGTTCGTGGAGCAGTCCCAAACATGTTCATAATATATTTAGGATGTAACACGCGTTCCTCAGCTTCTTATTTTGTACTCCAAGTCACAAAACTCAGCCATGGCCCTCCCCTCGGGAACTAGCTTCACCATCTATGGTCAATATGTTAGGTGGAGATCTATCGCCCCCATGTTGCTTTCAAAAAAACAAATACCGCAAAGCCATATATGTCATTTTGGTAACTACGATCCATTCTGATCCAACGGGCGACTCGGGGGCGCCCTCGCTGGTGCTCTAGGCGCCCCTCCCCGCCTCCCCTTTCAGCCACCATCGCCGCCCTTCGGCGTGCGGTGGCCCCAAAAAAAGGGTGCCGACTGCAGCCCCCACTCCCTCTCTCTCTTGTCCAACCACCCCACCCCCTACCGTCTACATCTCCAGCGAGGAGGTCGGGCGGGCGGTGGATCTAGGCCACTCCTCACCGAATCCGGTGCCTCCTTCCTCCCACGCCCCTGCTAAGGTGCCCGTCGTCGGTCGGCTACCTCTTGACGGTCGCCAGATCTAGGTCTAAGGCCGGCGGCCTGCACCCTTCGGGTGGGGGCCAACGGCTACCTGCGGCTGGGGAAGTCCGCTGCCTGGCTTGCCGCGTGATTGCGCATGTTGGTCGGTGCCTGGTCGGTACGGTGCCGTGCTAGTCTGTGTCCCATGATCATCCAGTGCGAGGGACATGACGCCTTCTACTATGCGAGCGCGAGCGCCCCGCCCTCCCGCTGGCGTGCGAAACCGAAGTGGGTGTGCTACGCAGGACTGGCTCCCTAGGCCAATGCTCGTTGGTCGAAGGTGCCGCTTAGGGGCACGGCTGGCCTGACCGTGGCTGATTGGTTCCATGGTTGTGGCTGGCAAGGTCGACAGGGGCCTCGGCCACTTGGGACGGTCCATGCCGTGGCCTGGCTTTGCGCCCTCGGGGCCGCATGGGCGGGCGAGGTGTGTGTCTGTGGCTAGGCATGCCCCCCGGAGCGACGTGTTGTCATGGCCAGAGTGCATGCAGGCGGTTGTGTCTGCACCACCATGGTGTTCTGGGCAAAAGCTCAACTCGGCTTTGGCTGGGCAGACGACGGTGACGCCTTGGGCGCCACATTCCTCCTTGGAGGCGTCGTTGTTGAATCTATACCTCTGCACCGACAATGCTAGATTCTAGGCGTATGCCCTGCCTTTGATGCCTCTAAGGCCGCCGGTGATGGCGTCCATGGTGGTAGCCTTGGGCTTCATCCCCTTCCAGAAGGCGTCGTTGAAGAATCACTAATGGCTACTCGCTTGCTCCCCGTGTCATCGTCAACGTCCGTGGTTCTTGCCGTGCAACCGGCTCCTGGAGTTTCTAGCTGTGCCTGTGTATGCCTATGTTCCACCGCAATGGTTTGTCCTGTTGCACTTGACCTCGCCGTCGTCGTTATAGCGGATGCTTTGCCGCTATCGCTTTATCCTTTGGCGGATGCTTTGCCGTTGTTGTCGTTGGCCTCCTCTTTGGTAGATGCTTTGCTGCTGAGAGTGTCATGGCCGCTCCCCTCTGTAGATGCTTTACCGTAGGGGGTGTCTTCTTCCCTAACGGATGCTTGGCCATTTGTGGATCCCTGGCGGATGCTTTGCCATCATTGGCTCTTTGGCCCCCTCTCTGGTAGATGCTTTGCTGCCGAGAGTGTGTTGGCCCTCTTCTTGGTGGATGTTTTGGCGTCGTGGTTGCTCGGTCTTTGTTGGTGGACACATTGCTGCCGTTGCTGCCGCATGCTCGTTCTCTGGGTGGATGCTTTGCCACCATGGCTTAGTCTAGTGCGTAGGCAACCATTGCGTTGTTGTATCCTTTTTCTTGCAGGCTCAGTTGGTAGGTCTAGGGTGGTGGAGATTGTCGCTCTCTATTTTTCTTTTTCTTATCCTTTTGTTCATTCCAGGTCACTAACCACTACCTTTGTGGTTTTGTGATCTGTGCTACGAGGTTCTCTCGTAGCAGTGTCGTGTAATTCACTCTGCTTAATGAAAACAGGCTATATTCCCCCATCATGAAAAATTATAGTTCCTAAACGTATAAGTCGTTTTACAAGAAAAGTGCACTTCCTTTCATTTCAGGAATGCATTTGAAATGGATCGTTTTACAAGAAAAATGTATGTTTACATCTATAATCAAACAAATGCACTGCCAAAAATATATTTTCGATGCATTTATGAATTTTGTTTGATGTTGTAAATGTTTGAAGTTTTTATATAATTTTGGTGAAAACTAATGAAGTCTGACTTAGAGCTATTAAAAAATCAGCTAAAATAAGTTGCCAGCTGATAAAAAAGGTCTACAGCCTGTTCGGGAGGCCGTAAACGATCGTGGATTATTTACTGCTGACTGATTTGGTGTGAGAGAAAAACACTGTTCCTGGCTGGAAATTTACGATCGTTTATGAGCAAGCGAACAGGCTAGCTAATCCAGCATAGCTTATAACATATTTGGAGCTTTCCTGTAATAAAGCTATCATGGAGTGTTGTCCGGACACCTTCCTTTCATTTTCGTGCCTTTCACAGGATAATCTATCTCTAGATATCATGAGGTGTTGATGGGCAAAACGTTTCTATATGGTTACACAAATGGGTTGCTAACGCACTAAACACACAGAGAAATTCTACATGTACACTTATTTTGCACACAAGCACAATTACGCACCTAAACAGTTCCATGTATACATGCAACTTCCATCCAGTGATCCAGGTGATTTTAATCATTAGAACAGGCTAAACTTTTTAATTTAGTTGGTAGGTGTGCCCTTTCATATAATAGCAATACAATCAGTAGTAGAAGGATGTGATGATGGAATTACACATTGCACTGCTTAAAATCGCGGGCTAAGATATTTAGCTGCTACCTTTTTCAAAATCTATAAAAAGCTATATCAAGTTGTAGAGGAAGCTATTTCATTTAGTGGTATAGAAAACATGAAAATTCTGAATTAATTATGCACGAAAGCACTTAACCAAACAAAATTATATGAACCTAAATAAATACTTAAATACATATAAGAGCTCTAAGAGAACATATGCCTCTAGATGCATTAATTAACATTTACCATATCAATCAACATACTCACTACTATGCCATTCAATATTCAATAACCGACTGTTGATTTATTGCATCAGTATCAAGTAAAGAACCTAACATAGAGGCATAGATTGTAGTCCTTTAGACTAAGGAATGGATATTTTCTTCAAATAAGATTAGTGGTGCTAAAACTATTATGTGGCTAAGCCAAAATAGCAAGCTTCATTAGAGGCAATACTAGAACAATTGATAAAATCATAGTGGTAAACCCTATAGAAAAACTATATTGGGCAACCGACTAGAACAACGAAGATAAACAAATCATAGCGCCCCGTTTGGCGGGGCTTCACTTCACTAGTAAAATCGTTTGGCCCTAATGAGAGCATAGCTGGAAGCCGGGGAGAAGCCTATATTTTGGGCTATTTACAACACTGATTTCATTTACCCCATTGGCGAGAACCAACATTTGGAGAAGATAAAGAGTAAAATGCCTTCCACTAAGAAGAGTAAACAATGCCTCGCCAAACAGGGACATGGTATCTAGACAAGAGTCAAAAAAGTGGATCTAAACTAAGGTTGATGATGCCTTGCTACTAATAATGAGTGGAAGCAGCAAATAATGAGTGGAGCAGCAAACATGATGCATACCCGGACCATTTTAAGTGCAACACAACAGGAGCACTACAATGTAAAGGGCAAGGAAGGAGAAGCAACAAGCCAACAACCGACCAAGCCAAGCAAGAAAAAGAAAAGAAGATAAGAGAGAGAGGTGGAAGTGGAAGCAACGAACCCTCCTCCACCTCCACTACTCTAAAAATAATCCGCTGGCTGATTAGTCTATGAAATGATGAATCAGATCAGCAACAGCGCGGCAGCCCCGCACCGCACCGCACCCACTCCAACCCACCACCTCCCAAAAGCAAAGCACGTTGCTAATCTAACCACCGCTTGCTTTCCTTTCTCCTTCGCCTTCCTCCTCCCACCACCAAACAGCACTACCACCAGCGCTCCATCCATCCTCGCCTCTCCCCCTGCCCCTGCTGCCCCCTTCTCCTCCCTCCCCGATTCCCTTGCTCCGTCTTGATCGGGCGGCAGGAGGGTCAGGCTGGCAGGTCGCGCGGCGATGATCTCCTCTCCGTCTCCCTCGCCGTCGCCGTCGTCGTCCCGGACGCCCAAGGGCGGCTCCGCTACGCCGCCGCGGAGTCAGGACAGCAAGTGGCGCAGCGGCGCGGTGCGCGGGGTGTACGGGCGGCGGCTGCTGGACGCGCTCCGCGCCACGGGCGGGGGCCAGCCGCGCGCCGTGAAGGCGGCGGCCGACTCGGCGCTGGCGCTGACTGCGCGCGGCCAGACGCGGTGGAGCCGCGCCATCCTGCTGGCCGGCGCGGCCTGCAGCCGCCGCCGCGTGCTCGTCAAGGCGGGCGGCAAGGTCCGGCGGCCCCGCCGCCAGCCGCCGCCGGTGCAGGCCAGAGACAACGCGGCGGCGGCGTTGCTCAAGGGAAAGGGCAAGGAGAAGGACAAGGTTCAGGAGCGGCTCCGCGTGCTGGGCCGCCTCGTCCCGGGCTGCCGGAAGCTCCCCGCGCCCGCGCTGCTGGAGGAGTCCGCTGACTACGTGGCCGCGCTGCAGATGCAGGTCAGCGCCATGCGCGCGCTCGCCGACGCGCTGGCGGCCGCGCAGCTGTCGTCGCCGGCGGAGGCGGACGCGGACGCGGAGAGGTGAGGCGTGGCCACGTGGGTGGGTGGGATTGATTGCTTGACTGGTTGGCCTAGCCGCCTGGCCCCATGACATGATTGATCACCAGCTCCAGCCTCCAGCTCGCTCCCCTACCTGCCGGATTCCGATGGGGTGCCGGATTCTGTGTCATTTGCGGGGCGTTCGTTGCTCTTGTCGGGAGCGATTGGTGGTGGGACTAGCAGAGTGATGAACTCGTGCCCCGCTCGTTTTATCGCTTCTGTCGCTTATAGGGCGACTGATGTTTTTTTCAGAGAGAGAAAATACTGTTCAAACGAACAGGGTCATAAGCTCGTGATTTGTTGTAAATTCCTTAATCCTTACTCCAACCCCCATCTGCTTGCTACTTGTGCATAAGCAAATGCTGCTGTGGTACAATACTCTTGTGTCAGTACGAAAAATTTGGTGGATAATTGTGTGTTGCGTGCCATGATTTTCGTACCAGGGAATGAACGATCAGAATTAATTTGGTGGATAATTGTGTGTGGCGTCCCATGATTCTTGTACAACGGAATGAACAATCAGAATCAATTTGGTGGATAATTGTGTGTTGCGTGCCATGATTCTGGTACCAGAGGGATGAACGATCAGAATTAGCGTTGTGTTGTGACTGTGGCCCGTTTCATCAGTAATGCTTTGGCCATGTGCCCTCTTTCATCCTTTTGTGTTTGGGACAGAAATTAAAGAAAAACAGAGGCATCTTGTATTTGAATCCTATACGAAAAATTCCCCATGGAGTGCTTTGGAGCACAAGGTGAAAGCCATCTTTGATTAGCGCTCTGGCAGGCAAAGTCGCCGGCCAGGCAGCCTGAGTGGCATGAATGAGCTCCAACCTGTGATGATCTTCAAGGTTGGTTTGGTTGGGTCGTACCACAGCTGGTTTTTTCATTTCGAAAAATAACACAGCTAGCACTGGGCTTGGCAACAAAAGGCCCCCAAAAAAGGAATCCAAACAAAAAGGCCCAACATTAGGAACCAGGCCCCGCCAACCCCCTCGTAAAAGCCCATCTCACGACGGTCAGTTTTACTGCGGTCAGCCCCGCCCCCGCACGTGCTGCGGTCTGCGCATTCCCCCGCGCCGTCCGCCCCTCCGGTCGTCGCCCTCTCCCCGCGTCGTGTCGTGTCGGCCGTCGGGGGCTCCTGGAACTGGAAGGAAGGAGACCCGGTCACCCGGCCCCTCGTCCGGAGAAACCTCTCCCCTCCGGCATCTCATTTCGCCTCCCTCCACCTCCCTCCTAGTACCCGGTGGATGTGGATCCATACCGTGTCCTAACCCCACCACGCAGCACAAGGGAGCAAGGAGCCATGGCGGCGGCCCAGCATCGTCAGGTGTGGTGGCCGGGGCGGATGGCGGCGGCGTTCGGACCCTCCTTCCTTTGCCTCGTCTGCCTCATCTACTTCATCCAGGTTTCTCTCTCTCCCCATTTTTCCTCTTCTAGGTTCCTAGCATTCTATTCCCCTGACCTGATCTGATCACTGCTTCCGGTATAATTCCGTTTAGTAATTATCCGCCTGTTGATTGTTTAGATCTCAATCTTATTGCATCCCCACACGACGCTGTTTGGGAGAAATGGACATATCAGATACGCAAATATGCCTTACTATAGCTTTTAGTATAGGGCAAAAATGCCTTACTAGCTTCTGAAGTTCTGATATAGGGCACGGAACCAGAAAATTTGATCATTCATGCTGCCATGCTCTGCTGATTTATCAAATCAATTCCTTATCGTGCCTAGTTACCTTCGAGATCCTCGTTTCATCAGTGGATCAACATCTTCAAGCATTACCAAGAGCCTAGCCTTTCTGCCATGTTCACACACGTACTGCTCTCTATTTTTTTTTTCCAGACCACCCTGCTAAATTAATTATGTTTCTTCGGACATTCTAGGGTTTCAGATCTTTCGTCTGGACAGCTGTCTCCTACCAAATGAAAGACGTGATGAAGCTATCACCCTCCACATCGCAGTTTCTGGTCTCCCTTGCATATTTCCCTTGGAGCATTAAACCTATATATGGGTAAGGTTTTGTTCCCTCGTCAACCTTCTATTGCTTTTCCTCTTCTACTGCTGGTACCGAAACTTACTGGTGATTCAACAATGATTTTTAGTGAGAAATGGTTAACACGTATGCTACATTTAGCTTCCTGCCTGCAGAGTTGCATGCTTATTTTCTTGTTACTTAAGAAACCTATATGGCTAAATGCCTTCACGCATGCATGACTGCATCCATTCTGTTTCATGTTTCTCAGTAAAATCTAAGTCCTACCTTTTGGCTGCTTATATGCCAATTGTTTTCCGCAGGATCTTGTCAGACTGCATTCCAATTAAGCAGAGGAAGCGTATACCCTATTTGATCATTTCTAGCTGCCTTTCTCTACTTCCGTGGCTTATCCTTGGACTATCACAAACTTTAAGGAGCTCAGCCAATATGCTTACTGCCTTGCTCGTAGTACAGAATCTGGGATCTGCGATGGCGGATGTTGTTATAGATGCAATGGTTGCAGAAGCAGTTCGATCAGCAGGGTAGGTTTCTTGATGTTTCCTGTGTCCCTATTTGGTATGCTGCTATGGAATATTGTGAAAACCTACTAATTTTCTTTCCAGGCCGGAGTTTGCTGGTGATCTACAGTCATTATCTTGGTCATCGATGGCTGTAGGTGGGATTTTCGGGAGCTTGCTGGGAGGATATGCATTATCCAATCTCCCAATACATGCTATATATGTTGTTTTCTCAGCCCTCCCATTCTTGCAACTAGTTTCCTGTATGTTTGTTGAAGATTCTCCAAAAGGATTCCACAGTGCAAATGATGAACATAAGTATGTAGACAATCAGAGTTCTGTTACTGCCTTTTCTGAAAAAGGCTCTAGTGAAGCACTTAGATATGAGGGCACTAGAAGGCGAAAGGGAACTCGTAAAAATAATAAAAGGAGATCACTGTCAAAGCAAACTGAGCCTGATGAGAAACACAATGGGTCAATTAATTCGTTGCCAAGTTTGTCTCTGAGATCAGCCTTCTTCAGTCTGTGCACAGCTTTTAAGCAGCCAAACATTCTGCGGTAAGCAAAGATTCTTTTCCTATATTTTGCCCGTTGTATACCCCTAATTTGATAGAAGGTACTAACTGGTAATTTGTTTTATTTTTCCAGGCCTATGGCATGGTTTTTCTTTTCAAATGTAACAATTCCAAATATCTCCACAGTCATGTTCTATTATCAAACAGAGGACCTAAATTTGGAGGCATCCTTTCTAGGGACTGCACGTGTGATTGGGTGGTTCTGTCTAATGCTTGGCACCTACACCTACAACCGCTACTTTAAGCAGAAGAATCTCAGGAATATTCTTGTGTAAGTTATCCATTGAAGTTTCTGTGTCTGATAGTTTTCCTTTTGTCATCATGTCCATATGGATTAACGGGACAAAGTAGCTTTACTGAAGTACATTATTTGTCTTGACAAATATGGTTATTGTACTTGAATAAGTTGTCACCCTCTTCTTTTTTGAGCTAAGTTTCAACACCTTTGTCCAGCACCTGCCTGGTTCCTACATATTTGCACAGTACAGGTTTTGTCTCACCTGTACAGGTTTTGTCTTCTTTTCCTGTAACTCTCTTTCTCTTTCTTTTTATAATAAAATAAATTGCACAGTAGGGGCCTCCCCTAGTGCATTTCCCCAAAAAAAATTGCACGTGTGCATTAAACTGAATGCGTGTTGGATTACATCCCCCCTTTTCCTTTATGTGCATTATGCTATGCTTCTATAAGCCACAGCTGGTCACATTTAGTTGTACTATTAAGCCCCTTCTAGCCCAACTTTGCTGTTTTGGTAAACAAATAAGGTTTGTAGTTTTTGTTATTAGTTACTCTTGTTCCAAGATACCAACTAAACTTTTAGAAGTCATTGTCCACAGTAAAAAATATATCTATTCAAAGCTGTTATGTCCGCTACTTCTAACATGTGCTGTTGATTTTTCCAGGTTTGCTCACGTCGGTCTTGCCGTAATTACCCTACTGGACATTGTTTTGGTGTCACGGTTACACGTTCAGTATGGAATTGCCGATAAGTACATGGTGCTGTGGGGTTCTGCTTTGGGTGATGCAATCAACCAGTTCAAGTATGCTTTGTTTAGTTGTGAACCAAGTAGCTCTATGGCATTTGATATCAAACCATTTGCAAGCTTCTGACAAGAATGCTTCTGTTTGGCAGGATGATGCCGTTCCTGATCCTGTCAGGACAGCTTTGCCCACCTGGAATCGAGGGCACACTGTTTGCTCTCTTCATGTCAATCAACAACCTTGGTTCAACAGTAGGTTCATTCCTGGGGTCTGCTCTGACATCAGCTTTGAACCTCACCACAGGACAGTTTGACAATCTTGCTCTGGGTTTGGGTGTACAGATGATTTGTACTCTCTTGCCGATTGGGTTCCTATCTCTGATTCCAAAGGAAGTCACAGGGCTAACATCATAGGTTGAGGTGTGCGGGCCTGACCATACTTGTTTTATTCCTGCTGGAAGGTAATGGTCTGTGCCCGAACCTCAAATTCCTGACTCATGCACAAATATACTTACAGCTCTGTACCAGAGTGAGGAATTTACATAAGGAAATTAAAGATAGTTGGAAGATAGACAGTTTTGTTGACAGTACACAGCTCTGTACCAGGATGAGAGGAAAGAAGAGTGCAATAGATTTTTAGGCAAAGGAAACGCAAAAAAAAAGATTTTTAGGCAAAGATCTTGATGTTGACAGATGTTGATGCTACTTGACGTCTTTGGTTTTCATTAGCTGCGTTGTGCATGTATTACGAAGTGGTTTGTGCATATATACTCCAAACTTGTTGCTATGAATATGATCATTAAATCCATTGGAGCAGTGAAAACTGTTTCAGAAGCGCTCGTGCTCGGTTCAGTTAAGTTGAACGAAGAACCAATGTATCGAACGAGTGAGTTGCTCCATGATAGAAATTCAGAATACAACAAAAACGCACCCTTCCCCTTGTACAACTAATGTTTCAGCTGTTGCAAAGAATGTAACCACCACCACCCAAAGCCTAAAACTATAGTTAACTGATGACACGAAATTAGGTGTCTGCCTCGAGCTCTGCTTGGAGTCAAAATTTTCTGACAGTCTTGCTTCAGATTCAAAGCCATCTTTTAGCCTTTGCTGCCGAGTTCACTGGAGGTGGTGTTTTTGCACCTCTTTTGTCGTTTGAACCTGACAATAAAGCAAATGCACTTTCAGTACAACAAAATGGGAGGATCAGACAAAGCATCCTTTGTTCCATAACAACAGAGTACATCATAATCTGAAGTAAAATAAATCTGGTTTATATTCATCATCAGCAATTTGTTTTACCAGTAAACATCCCTAGTGCTATTAAAAACAAATAAATCCACTCCAGAGCGTCAACCGGGGACTAGCATGTACAAATTCTAAGGGCATTAAAAAGAATCCCCCCTGATAATGATTCTTTATCCAAGGTTAAACTAATTAGCAAGCAGGTAAAGGGTGATCAGCTAAGTAAGAATGGGCATTGACCTTGTTTCAGGGCATGGGATCCAGGAGAATGGCAGTGGCTTGTACTTGCTGGCAGCTAGGAGTGGCAGCACATGCACTGGTGGTTTGACTATTTCTTATACCTTCCATCAAATCACAAGGCAATGGTTACACTTCAGTTAACTCGTCCAGACACAAAAACCCTAAACATATAACTGATTTAATCACTATGCTAGAGCAACCTACATTGTTATGATTTCAAGGATCAATGTAAACATATTAAGAGCAAATGGAGTTCACTGGATCTGAAAACTTACTTGTATCCGACTTCCCTCCAAGAGAAGATCTGCGTGACATAGTTGACGGCGGTGGTGGGATACCTGTCAGTGATTGTCTTCTCCTTAACCTAATATCAGCTGTAACTGGGGAGGCAATATTATGGCACAAGTTGGCTGTGATTTTAGTTGGAGTCCCTTGTGCTGAATGTTGTGCATTCCTGCTAAGTTGCAGAAACAGGAAGGCTGTTATCATCACTGATACGTGTCACAAGAAAAAACATGTATCCTAGGGCGTACCTTCTTTCAGTGCCGTGAATCAATCTCCCTATGCTGCTTTGAATTGACTTCCTTAGATGAGATCCTTTCTTCACTGCAGTACCTGTCATTATTTTCTCCAATTTGGCGGTGGAAGAAGGAGCATCACCGCAACTTGCTTCAGTGCACAGGTTCCTTGACCTACATGGTGCTGCCTCTGGAGTATTTAATCCTGATTGCTTAAGTAGATTATAAGCTTCAGGGGGTAGCTGACAAAATTCCATTGTATCAACTGTACAAATTATCTTCTCCTTCTCCTCTCTAACAAGATCTTCAGCGCATGTCGCTGCCATCTTCCATAATGGGCAAGGAAAAAAATGTCAGCTGCCACAGCATTGAATGATATGAAATACACTAAATCGACATTAGTTACAGAGATAAACACATGTTGTTTTGAGGCATGTTGTCGAAATACTGAAAAGCCGTCAACGGCTGGCTATCGCAGGGGGCATTTGTGATAATCTTGGCCACAGCACCGGGCTGTAACTTGTTGATTGTCTTGCATAGGACAATGCCATTCCTTAGAGAAGCAACAAATTCCTGCTCCGACGGATAAGGGGCCAGGCTGAAGGAGCCCACCATTGCTTGGAGCCAGGCAGCAGCCTGATGCCGCCTCAATGCTTGCAAAGAGTAAGAAAGAAGAGTAAGCAAAAAGAATATTATAGGGGCAAAACTTGAAACTGTGTGTTCCATTGAAGAAACTTCAATTCATTTGTAGCATAGCGTACACAGATTGAACTTAGTAAAGCCATGAAACTAGACTAGTATCAAAACCATATTGCTGCATAAATATATAGGGTGCTTGGTTCGAGCAATCACTCAATTCTAGATGAAGTGCTGCATCATAAGTCCATTTCTCAAGTTTGCTGGAAGTGACGATGGATCACCTATTCCATTCCAAAAAAGGTAAGGAGCCAGGCGATGATGGATTAACTCATTCCTCAAAGCAAACGCTAATAGAGAGAGGGCAACACTGCCCTGGAATCGAAGAATCGCTCACAACTCGCTTCGTTTCTTATAGAAGCAGAGTTGCAGAAACGAAGCGAGTTGCAGTCACGAACTCACGATCAAGCTAGAAACTGCATGTCCCCCGCCTCCCCAGGAATGGGTTACATACATCTCAAAAGCCTCGTTTAACCAACAAAACAGGGGGAGAAAATCAGGTATCCTACCACCGACACATCAGGGCATCTTTCAAGTCATCATAAGATTGAAGAACGCCTTCCAGATGATCAAGATGTGAAGCGACTCTATTATCGGCGAATACCGCACCCAAGTTGCCGCAGAAGACCGAGGACCGCGGAGGGAAACCCCACCTAAACCCCCGAACAAAAACAAGGCAACGGTCGAAACCGAGAAACCCCTGGAGATCTAAGCACGCGAGAGGGATAAACCGATCGAAGGCCGAGAGAGCAAGGGACGGGAGATGCGTAAGGTCAGTACCGGCTTCCTCCGCCTTTCGCGACGCGAGGCGGCCGTCGCGGAACGACACCCTGCGCGGCTCCGCCATGGCTGCGCCTCGCGCTCCCCGGGGGCCGGGGCCTTCGGCGAGGGCGTAGAAGCTTCGATGGGAAGGAGACGAGGAGGGGGAGCAAGGAGAGGGCTGGAGCCTGGAGGGGAGGAAGAGGTGGTTTGAATTCGAAATGGGTGCGGTTGGTGGGGCCCAACCCAACGCGGCGGCCGTTGCCCCGAGAACCAAATCTGTCCGAGATCTCGACACGCGCCGGCCGCACCGCAGCTCTCAACGCACACCTGTCGGATTGGACGGCAAGTACGAGGTTTCCTTTTACCGCTGGGGCCCACGAGGCGTTGGGTCCGTTGGTCAGTGACTGCTCTCTGCCTGTGCCGCAGGTATGGCTATAGATGTCAAGCAGCCTGTAACATGACGGCCTGGCACGAAACGTATTTTTGGCCTGGCCCAAACACAGCCCAACCTGGTGGCGTGCAGGCCCGGACTAGCACGGCTCGGAGTTGTAGGTTATGCCTGGGCCTTACCCCAGGCACGACGTGCCAGCCCGGCACGGTCCGGCCTACAACAGCAGGCCCGGTAGTAAGCTAATTCATCTACGGCCCAACAACTCACTGCAGCCCAACATCTTATCTCTAACCGTAGGCCTTCTCATTGAGTCATTGACTACCTCGGCCACGATACGGATATCCCATTCCTCACCGTGACTCGCGAGTCCACTCCTCCTTCCCCGTTGCGCCGCACGAACTCACTCGCCCCATCTCGCGCTCCTCTTCTTCCTTTGCTCGGCCCCCCGCAACGCCGGTTCGCCCCGTCTCGCGCTCCTCTCCTCTCCGACCAATGCGCCACCAGTGGCCTCACCCACATCTGGGATATTTCTTCCCCCACTGACCTCCACGCCGCAAATCGAATGCAGCTGCTGCCGAGTGGCTGCCACCTCCACATCGACTCGTGCCGCCGCCATCTCCCCCAACTCATGTCGCCGCCTCCTCTTCCCTCTCTACCTCACGTGGCCTCAACCCTCGGCTCCTCTGCGCGACTGGCGGCGGCGCTCCCCCACGGCTCCACTACGACACGGGCTTCGAGCTGGCCCGTCTTGCTCCGCAGGCCGTGCTTCCTAGGCCAGCCCGGCCCGAAAATCGGCCCAGCAGGCCGTGCCTGGGCCGCTTGTTCAAGCAACGGGCAAGCACAGCCCGGCATGGCCCGAGCCCGGGCCAGGCACGGCCCGATCGGGCTCGGGCCCTTTTGGCCCACCGGGCCTCCGGGCCATGCCTGAACAGTCCACCGTGCCTGGTGGACGGCCCAGGCACGGTCCGTGTGCCGAATATCGGGCCGTGTCAGCCCGTTGAGCCCACGGCCCACTGGTCCATCGAGCCAGCCCATAGCCCGTTACACAGTAAACACCATATTTCAAACAGCACAATCACTGGTTCAAACTTCAAACAATCACAGGTTCACATATTCATATTCAACAATCACAGAAACACCAAATGACAAAAGATTTGAGTTGTTTGTGCAATGCCGCCTCATTAAAAACCTTTCTAGGTAAAACTCACATCTCGTGAGATAAAACCTTAGAAAGGAAAAGAGTACGGCCAGCTCAATAAATTAAAATGTTCAAATTGTTCAAAGTTATTACAAACCAGCTAGCTCAAATGTCTCAACTCTCACAACTAAAGTCGCACTCACAGCCTCTCAGGCTCTCAGCTCTCAGCAGTCAACCATCACCAGCAGTAGATGATCCACCAGCTTCATCATCAAGGTACTGCTCTTTGAAGTACTCTTCTAGCTCTTTGTCCTCCATAGTGTGCTGTCCACCGGATTCACCTAGCTCCCAGTCTTTGACACAGATTAGCATCTCCACGCTGTCCGCGCCCAATCGCCGTCGCCGCTCCTCAATGATCCTGCCAGTA